ATCTCCATGATCTAACCATTTTCATGACAGTTTTAGGATATTCGTAAGTTAATGGTATACGAGCCTGTATCAAGCTATGGTCGGACAAAATCCCACATGGAAAAATGTTTAAATCTGATACCAAAAAATCTTCTGAACAAACAATCAGATCAAGTATACCTCCCCGTTCGTGAGTTGATTGATTGATTAAGTTTTTCAACTGAAACATGTCAAACAATTCTAACAAATTTAAAGTATGACGATCATTCAGCTTTTCTATATGAATGTTAAAGTCGCCCAAAATTATTAAATTTGAACTAAAAGAAGCAATATTTTCTAGTAAACATAAAAGTTCTTCAAAAAATAAATTAGTAACTGGTGCCGATCCAGGTCTATAGATGGCTAATAAAATAAAATCTGTTCTTCTAATAAATAACTTTAGAGCAAGTGCTTCGAACGATCCAAACATAGGTAAGACAATTTTTTTAAATTTAAATTCATTTCTGAAGTATATAATTAAACCACCATGGTAAGGATCATTTATTCTTAAAAAATCAACGTAGTTATATCCAGGAGGAACTGAAGATCTAACAGAAATATTATTCGACGATCCGTGCCAGGTCTCAACCAAAACAAAAATGTCTAACCCGTTGTGAATTAAATCGTAGACAGCATCAAATTTTGAATTTATCGATCTGATATTTAATAAACCTAACATTACATTATAATTAGTCTTAGATAAATCACTTGCACCACAATCATTATCTTCAGAACTATTTACATCCGCTTTCGAGGTAATTTTACAATCACTTGCACCACAATCATTATCTTCAGAACTATTTACATCTGCTTTCGAGGTAATTTTACAATCTTCCACCTTCCGACCTGTCCTCTCACTCTGAACAAAAAATTCCGATTTATCTCTTCTTTTTCCATGGCTTTGGCTCTATCTACGTATGTTTTATATTCCTGTCTCTGGTCCATTGTCAAATCATGACTTAAACCGACGTGTGAGAAACCCTGCAAAGATTTGAATTTTTTAACATTTCTCATTATTGAATCTCTAAGAAATACATTGTCCAACTTTATCAACACAGGTCTAACTACTGATTCTTGTCTTTTTCCAAGTCTAAAAACCTTGATAACATTTTTATCAGAAACATCCTCCGACAGATGCTTCAAAATCTTGAGGACATTACCACGATCATCATCACTCTCCGATAGACGAAACATCAGCAGGTTTGATTCCCTCTCTTTAATTTCATTTGCCTCATCCAGAGCTTTCTGAAACGATTTTACTTCACTCCTGATGGCGTCAATATTTGCACCACCCCCTTTCCTAACGATGCCAGCATACGTTTCTTTCAATTCGTTTTTGCATGTCTCAAGTCCATCACGCACAGTTGTATCAAAACGATCAAGTTGATCTAGCCTTGACTCATTGCGTTCAATATTCACTTTTATGTTATCAATATCAAGTTTTATTTTCATATATATTTCGTTTAATACGTCCAGCTGAGTGACAATTTGATTTTTCGTATTGTCCACTGATTTAGCTAAAGAACCAATATCCAATGACAAATCAAAACAACGGTGACAAAACCATTTTAATCCTTTAGAATTTTTCAAAATTTCCAAAATGTCATCATTAATTTCACATTTGTTGTGAGCGCAAGACTTGCAACATGCACAAATCAACAACTCCTTACTCGGAACTACTTTTGCACACTTCGTACAGCTGTAACGCGAGCTCATTGTATTTGTTGTATCTAATATTATAATTAACCTCAGCCAGATTTTTAACAGCAGATAATTTATTCAATCACGTGACGATAATTCGAAACAAAACTTTATCAAATTTAACGAAAAAACAAAATTTTATGAATTAAATTTAATACCAGCTTATTCTAGAAAATTTACTACTGCAATTTACGAAATTGTTAACATTAAATAACTACTTTTAACCGAGAAGAAAGCAGAAATAACTGCTAAAACAACAAATTCAAACAACAACCAATGTATACCTACCAATATTTTTAATTCTTATCTAGCTGATTCTACTTAGAGGATATTGTTGATGCTTGAAAATTTTCTTCCACGCAGGTTTCGTTGCTTGGTTTGGAGGTGGTGCATGCACTGGTCAGTAGGATGAAGGCAAACTTCAAGCAGCACATCACCTCAGGTATGTTTATCATCATCATTTTAATCATCATTATTCCATCTTTGTTATCATTTTGTTTAACATCTTCATCATCTTCTTGCTCTTATTCTTTTCTTTCATCGTGGTACTGCTGTAATGTTTTTTTAACTGACTGACTGTTGGCTGGTGATGCAACAACATTTGCCTGTTGTTTATTTGCTTTCATATTTTTTAGATGTTATCCTGCTTTTTGTTTGTTGATATTACTAATGGCGATGGTGATGATGACGATGGTAATGATGATTACATTGATGGTGATTGGTGAGAGAAGAAAAGTAAACTTAATAAATTCTCATCATTTTATCATTTTGCACAGTTCTTTCAGTCACTATTGACCGCTTGGGTGATAGCAAAGACCAGGTCGGTAATTATTTATTTATCACTATTATTATTATTATTGAGCACGGTGGCCGAGTCCCCAAGAATTAATTTTCTTTTTTGGTCTTCGAATCATGCTTTTTTGTTTTGTTTGATTGAATAAAAGTGATTTGATTGTTGTTGCCGTTGTTATTTTTATTATTATAATGGAAAATGTACATACTCTTGTGCTCCGGTTACATTTTTTTCTTGCAACAATAAAAAAAATTACAATCAACGAAGCAACAATTTTTTTGGATGGCATGCACTTCAACTTTAATATTGCTGTATACTGCCATCTTGGGTCCACTTAGAAGATATTGTCACTGTAGACTTATTAGTGGTTACATTCAAACATCTTCCCCAGTGGACAAACTACTTTTCTGTTTTCACTTCTCCTGAATATACCACATGCCCACTCAGCTCAGGATGACTTCAGGATCAGCAACATTGGACTGAGACTTTAAATGTCTAAACTCCAGACAAATCTGTCAAAGCTTCTTCAATGTGTCTCCCTTGTTTATGTTGTTAGTTATGTTATTATGTTACTAGTTGAAGCCTTTTATTCTGAACTAACATCAGCGAATTATAATTAAGATAGGATATGCTTCTTTAAATATGAACATTTTTAGAAGAAGAAAAATCAGAATACAACAGAGCAGCACAAAAAAACCTCACTCAACACATGACAATCTAATCATAATCCTGTCCTACTTCTTTGTGTTAAAGAATTCTAGTGGCAGTGGCATTTGTATTCTCTTTATTAGTTGTTTTAATGATATTTTTCTTGGCGCCATCATACTTGTTATAATCCTCGACTGCCTGCACAAACAAGTGATAAACAAATGTGCATGTTTTGTATCCTAACTTTCTTTAATGACTTTGTTTCAACATCTTCACATCATTTAAAGTTATTTTTAAACAATGGATCTTAAAAGTTATTAGGTTATAATGCAATGACATATCACAGTTTTTGTTTTTATTATAATTTTTTTAATAGTATCATTGGTAACAAATGTGCTGATGAAATTTTCTTCAGGTTCGAGATTGTGCCAAGAAAGTTTTGCTGAGTTTCATGGTTCCTGCATCAAATCCACAAGTCTGTTTCAATTTGTATTTCGCTCATTCATTCATTCGTTCGTTCGTTCGTTCATTCATTCATTCATTCATCTGTTTGTAAATTAAAATGGAGACTATTTATTTTGCATAAATAAAAACAAAACCAAGCTTAGTTGACTAATTCTGCTGGTTATTTGTTGTCATTTAGTTGTTCAATTTGGTTATTCTATTGATTGGTTCAATTGATGAATTGTAATTAATGATTGATTGGCTGGTTGGTTGATTGATTAAATTGATTGATTGATTGATTGATTGATAAAATATAGTAATCTGACTTACCAAATGGTTATTATGTACCGGAAAGGTATTAGATTTAAGTTTATTTATATAGAAAAAAACGTAATTTAAAATGCTGTAAATTTTGTTACATGAAGTGTGTTTTCAAAGTTAACTTGTGAGGAGATGGGTGATTTTTGAGTGTTAAATTTAAAGATGAAATCTTCCTTCCCCTAGTGTTTTCCTCTAAGTGATTGATTGTGTGGTGTGACAAATTAAAGTAGATTTGTTATTGATGATGGGAGTGGTTAGTATTTGTTGATGATGGGAAGATGATGATTTTTCACTGGATTTAGTCCTGTGGTTGTGTCAAATTTAGCATCAATCTGACTGACAATAGCAATGTAATGAAATGCTGCAAAGGAAATGGAATGGTTGGATGGGTGTTTTGCAAAAGGATTGGATTACGTATATTGTATTTTATGAATTGAATAGGTTGTGTGTGCTTGTCAAATCTGTTATATATTTTGTCTTTTGTTGTTTTTTGAACTGTGCGTGTATTATTATTTATACATTATTCCATGAAGCATTATTCTGAATGATCATTTTAAATGTTCATTATACTTTTTTTTCTACAAAAATAATTCTGATTATTATATGCTAGCTAGTAGAAAGATAGAAATATACAAAAGCAGAAATAAAGAATATAAAATGCTGAAGGGCTGGTGCTGGCTATTGAGAGCTGTTGTTGTTTTATTTTTGCTTTACAATGACATCAAAATCTCTTTTGGTTGCTGCTATCAAGTTGCAAATCTTTATTTCATTTCTTCTACATCCATGCCTGCACTTTATGTTTGTGAGTTTACATTTTGACATTTCGGAAAAGTGTACATATTGTTATATTCAGATCAGTTGTACCATTTATTTATATATTATTTACATTACAACTGTTAATTAATTGATCTATTACTTAGTTAATTAATTAATTTAATTAAAAAATTAATTTATTAATTAATTAATTACTTGATACAGTACATAATTGAGAGGTTAACGCCTGCCTTCACTCACAAATTGTGGAAAGTGAAAGAGGAGTCATTATGCTTAGTTAACTATGTTCTTAATGAGTTAGTTGGTTCCATTCATTCTTTCAGTTTTCTCATGGATGCTGTTTAGTTGTTATTGTCTATTGAAGCTGTTATTAATGGCATTAGTCTTCTGTAATTTTTGTTGTTGTTCTGTCTTGATTGATGTTAGCATGGTTTTATTGGTTTGATGTTCAATTTGCTTGAAGATGTTTGTAGTTGTTTTATATTGTTTTCTGTTAGAAATTTCTCCTACTGTTTGTTGTTGCATGATGTGTGTGCGTGTGTGTTCTGTACTTAATATCCTTCAATTGTTTTTAAATTAGAAAAAAATAAGTTGAGTATTGTTAATTTGTTTGTACATGATGATGTAAACAATGATTACTATGATAATTATAATAGCTATAGATGCTTTCATGTTCCTGTTTCTCAATCACTTATCTATGGCATTATTTTGTTTTCTTGTATAAATAGATGGGGTGCAAAGAGTATCATAATATCAAAACTGATCCCCCTTGTGGTCAAGATGATGGAAGACTCAAGTGTTCCTGTTAGTATGTGTCCGTGTATTTGTGTTTGGTTTGTTTGTGTGTGTCTGTCTGTCTGTGTGTGCGTGCGTCCAGGTGTGTGTGTGCGTGCATGTGACTGTTGGTGTTGATGTTGGGGTGATAAAATTAATATAAAAGTAGTTTCCCATATCTGATATTATTGACAATGTGTCTAATTATTATTTAGTGAGTCAATCATACCCTATGAATATTCAGGAAGTCCTGATTGCCCAATATTTCATGTATTAGGGATAGTATTAAAACTTCTATTGTACATTCAAAATAATGGTATTTATGACTTTATTGAATTAAAACTGCACAGTGTATTTGTTTTATAAATTGATGTATTGAGATCAAAGAGCGTGAAATTGATAGAAATCGAAGCTATTGGAATAATATTGTTTTTTTTTATTGCGGAATGAGATATAGTGTCAAATGATCTCTTTTCTCATTCAAGGATACAATAAGTTTTTTTTTTTCAGAGAACCAAATTCAATTTTGGCTATCTTCCCCCTTGGGAGAATTCTTATTACTGTTCTTTTGGAATTTATTTGACGTTGTTTATTCGTTTTCACGTGAAGATGTGGCTGATGCATATTTTTTTCATTTTTTGTGCACACGCTTCACTAGAAATGAAAACAGCTCTATTGGTGAAGAACAAATGTTTGTACAAACATTTGTAAAAGTAGTTTTGTTTAGAGAATGATTTTACTTAACCTTACTTTTCGAAATCAATTTACTGATACTTGTGGACTTTTAATTTCATTTCAAATCAAGTAAAATATCACTGATCAAAAATGGCAACAAATTCTTTATATAATAACAATATCACCAACATCATTCAACGTAAACACCAACCAATGTAAGTTATTTACTACAAACACAGTCAACAAACATCCAACAATAATATTCCTCTAAATCAACAATATCAGAATAAACAACAACAAAGCCAACATTAACAAAGCAACAACATAAGCATCCTCATTAGCGGTGGCACAACCAGATGTCAACAACAAAAACCTCAAAATGACCAGGTTCGAGAGCAGGCTGTTCTAACCTTGGTGGAATTCTACAGACATGTGGGGGAGAGAGTTCGACAGGACATCTGCAAGAGGGATATTCAACCATCCAAGTCTGTATATGAATTGTAATCGATTGAATGATAGATGAATGAATGATGGATGGGTAAAGATTGATAAAAAGATGGATAAATAGTTGATTGGTTGATGAACAGATGAATGGCGTATGTTTTGTTAAAGCTTGAATGGATTTTTTAGTTTAAGAAATTGTCAAAGTTTTGATTAGTTTTTTATAAATTAATTTTAATTTTAGTTCTAGTAATTTCTGTTTTAGTTATTTATTCATCATAAAATTAATTTTACTATTGGTCAGATTTAGTTATTTTTGGTATTCAAGAATTATTCATAAAGCATTCTTGCCTAATTATATTCAATGAGAACATTCAGAGCAATAATAATTTTTATAATTACACTGACTAAATCTAGATTAGTAGTGATGAATAAAAATTAAAAAATAAAACAATTTGCGGTGGTCAAAGACACCCAGCACTATTTTTTAGTTATTTTCAGTGTTTAATAAATGGTTTCAGTTTAAGTTACTGAAATATCTCTAGTGGGAAGTACAGGCGGGGTGAATGGATTAATGGTGAATGAATGATTAGTCAAAGATTGGTTTGAGGGTAAGGAAATTATTGGCATATGACGATTGAATGGGATGGAATTGAATGGATGAACCGAAAAATGAAGGATAGAAAAAAAAAAGTTGCTGGATAGATGAAGGAAAAATGATTGGCATGTTAAATTATAGAGTCATTTATTTCTTCTATTTCACCAACGGTTAATATATATGCATGCATCTTTAAGGTCTATTTATTCATTCAGTTATTTGTGTTGTTATTTTCAACAGGCTGTCCATTCTAACCTCAAAAATGGATGAAGCCAAAAACAAGGGTCTTATGATTGCCTCTTATGAAGGTTGGTTCATGAGTTGGTCAAATAGTTAACTAGTTTTCTGGGTGATCGTCGGTGTAAGTGAAAAAAGGTGAAGGTCTGGGTTCAGTACATTATATCATTAATAAATAAAAATTTACGGTCGGGTATGTTTTCATGAAAGACCATGTTTTAACAAGCTGTGTAGTGGATTTGTAGTTTTTTATGCTGGCACGTTGGTACCGTTGAATTATATGATTATAATGATAATGTTGACGTTGATTCCACTCAGATGAGCCAGATGGTCCAGTGGAGGTTGCAATAAAAAAGGCCCCTCGGTCGAAGAGCACTGGACGATCACAAGTCCCACCAATCAAGTCCATTGCTGGTGCCGGTCCAAGGATGGCCTTCGGTTGTGTGCCTCTGTTCATTTGTTTTAGAATGCATTCCATTTTTGTTAAAAATTATTAATGTTAAATTCAACATTCCTTATACTAACCATGAATGAATTTCCTTAATGGAAATTCATTCATGGTTGTTTGAATGAGGGAATAAATGAATGGATGAGTGAATGAATAAATAATGAACGAACGCATGAATGAATGAATGGATGAATGTGAAATGACCAACCGACAGACCAGATTTATTGATTGACTGATTGATATATTTTTTGTTCCATTATTTGTTCGTAGGTTCTCAGTCACATGCAGGTGCTCTGGACGAAGAGTTGTTTTGTAAATCTTTCGACGATGTGCCTAAAATATTTGTTGGTTTTATTTCGTTCATGTTATCATCATACTAATTAATTATATAGGTGTTTGTGTAAGTATGTTATAACTATAAAATTATATTTACATAGTTTTTCTTTATTTAAACACATCAGCATATACACTGAATTTGCACATTTCACATACTCATTACTTAAATTTGATGTTAACTGCTCATTGAATACAAACCAATTTGAAAAGATTTCTTCCTCCAAAGACCTGATCGCCAGGATGGAGAAGGTAAAGGACACGTTGAATGATACAAACAAGGATTGGGAGTTGAGGCAGGATGCTGTTAGTTAATTTTGTCAGCCTACTAGGTGCATTTGCACTCATGTTCGTGCATAATGTGTAGCCTGCCGAGTGCATCTGTACTTGTGCACGTGTTTGTTGCACTGACCTGCCGAGTACACGCGTACTTTTGCGTGTGCTTGATGATTTTTATTTGTTGTTGTTAGCATTGATGGCGGTGCTTGACGCTGGTTACAGTAGTATAAATATTTGTTGCTGCTAATAATAGTAACTAATTATGTGGTGGTTATTAGTAGTGGGGGTAAGTAGAATTTTTTTAGTTTGGGTTTTAAACTTGAGATAATGAAAATATGACATCACCATTTTATAGATGTTATTAATTTGAACTAATTAGTTACTAAACGTTTACAAACCAGTTGAAAAGTTTGAGATCGCTGGTGGTTGCTAATGCCACGAAATATCCAGAATTTTTGGGCTTGCTAAAGGGTTTGGGACCTGCACTTAGAGTTAGTGTTCTAGATCTACGGTCGCAGATAGTCAGAGAAGCATGTATCACTCTTGGGTTAGTTGATTGGATGATCAGTTGCATGATTAATTCATTGGTTGGTTGGTTGAATGAATGAATAAAGGATTTATTTTTGGTCTGATGGCTTAATGAATGTTTGAAATCAATTGGAAAATTACTGATTATTGATTACGCTGATTGAACTGTATAACTGGTTCATTTATTTGTTTATTTATTGAGCTTTCATTGTTTTATTTTCATTTGGTCTTGGTCATTTTTGTTCGTTTATTTATTTAACCCACTGCAAATTTCAAACATTTCCATCATCACCAATGGCATTCTCGTCATCTTCATGTTCCCATCGTCAACTTCATCACCACCTCGTAGATATTTATCCCAAGAGTTGGGCAGAGATTTTGAGCAGATGGCGGAGTACATAATCCCGGCCATCATACAGCTCCTGCCAAACTCTGCAAAGGTCATGTCCACATCTGGACTAGTAGTCTTGAAGTTTATCTTGCAAGTTAGTTTGTAGATTTTAAAAAAAATTTAATTTTCTTTCATTGTAGCGCGCAGCCCTTATTAGTTATTTTTAAACAATTAAAGTGCGGTGAAAATTTTAGCCATTTTTTATTCTTTGCAGTTACTTTTACTTTCTAAGCTAACAGGTATGTGTTATTTGATATGTTATCAAGAAATAATGCTGGTATCGTGAAATGTGACTTTAAGTCATTCGGTTATCTTTTTAATAAGACATTTTTATGTATTATATTTACTGCATTACATTTTTTGTGAGCCCGTGGTTATAAACAGCAGCTATGCTGTAACTATCGTCTTTTCAAACTCGCCATTTCATTTAGATTTGGGGTCCTGTACTAAAAGATATTAGTAGTAGTAATACTAGTTGTAGTGGTGGTAGTAGTAGTAGCAACAGTAGTAGATGCCAAGAAATATATTTCTTCCTGTTAATGAATTTTTTAATAGAACTATGAAGAACAAAATTTCGTTAGTTAGAACCCTTTGTCATTGAATATATCATTGTTAACTTTTACGGACGAAACACGTGTCCAGCCTATCCAAACGAATACCATTCTTTTCTTCTCCCGCTTACTGCTCTTCTTGGTTCGGTGTTCACAACCGCAACAGTCCGTAATTGGGTTTGATTTTTCAAATCTGCTAACCATAGAATTTCTTTTGGTCCATTGATTGACGTTGTATTAATTATTTACATTAATTACAGTACACGCAATCACATCGCCTCATCCCACTGATAACGTGCAATCTTGCCTCCAAGTCCAACATCATTAGAAGGTTAGCCGTCATTCTTGTCTATCATTTACCTGAATTTTGTTGACAACTAATACTGATACTCATCTTTTTTCTATATTTTCTTCATTTCTCAACATTTCATAATGAATGCTCCACAGGAACTGTTGTGAGCTGATGGAGCTGATAACTCGGCTGTGGCCACCTAGCATCATTGAGAAACAAGTGACACTTATCACAGAGGCCATCAAAAAAGGACTGAATGATGCCGATAGCGAGGCACGTGATGCTTCTAGAAGGTTTGTTACTGCATTAATTGATGGTTTAATTTGGTTGGTTAGTTTACTGGCTGGCTGGTTGATTGGTTAGTTAATTAGCTAATTGAATATGAGTTAATTAGCACACCTCGGTAAATGACTCGAAGTTTTTAGAAATCGCTAAATTAATTTTTTTATGATGATCAAAACTCTACAGAGCATACTGGAATTTTGAAGAAAATTTCAAGACCCAGGCGTCGACGCTGTACACATCTCTTGACAGTGCACAACAAAGAGCTCTCAATGCTGCTGCCATTGTCAGTAGGAACGTTCATTCAGTCGTTTTTAATAGATAGTTCTATTGTTGTAATATAAATTGATTGCCGTGCCTGTTGTTTCTTCATTGGCGAAGTTTGCTTTTTGGTGGATTAAATTAGATAATTAACGGCATAATTTAAATTGTAAAACTGTTCAGTCGCTTTGCTAAAAAAATGTTGAAACTGTTCTTTCATTTGTTATCATTGCTTCTAACGGTTGTAGATGGCATTATTCTAAATTGAAGTTAACAATTTATCATTGAGAAAGTGAGCTAAATAGTCTGGCCTTTACTCATCTTTTGTTAACAGCTTCTTCAAATCTTATATTATTTTATGGATCAATGATTAATAAATTTTTTAAAAAGTTTTTGTTTTTGTAAAAAACATACTGGCATTTGGAACAGCTAAAAAATCTGATCAATTAATGACAGGGCATCACTCCAATATTTAACATTTTTAGATCAGTTACCAAACATTTTTCAACATTATTGATTTTAAAGAATCTTCTCTGTGTGACATTCTTTGAGCGATTTTTGGTTTACTGTCATAGTTTTGCCAGTTTTTGCGCGAGGTAACAATAATAAAAACATCAGTTTCAATTTTGTTCTCTGAAATAGTTTCTAAAATAGTTTAATAATTTGAAATAGTTGCCTGTCTTTTATTCTTTTTGTTATACTTTATTAAATTTTTTATTGTTATCTCAAGTGTTTCCTGGAGGTTTATGTCTTGTTAGTTCTATTCTGATGCAATCCAACTCAATCTTTAATTGAACACACTCCTCCTTGCGTCGTTTTATTGAATTTTTAAGACACACCTGGGTTGATCCATCTGATCATTTTTGATACTATGCGTGATGAAACCTGTCAATTTGTTTTCTTAATGATTGTTTCTGCGTGGCTTCTTGAAGAGGATAGTTAGTGTTAGTTGTAACGTTGTAACATCGGCGTCACAACCATAGTGGCAGGTGTGGTGGTGTCTGGTGTGCACAACTTTGCTCTACATAATGCCATTTATTAACATGAAATTTGATGGCAATATCTCTATTATTACCTATTATTATTATTATTATTATTATTATTATTATAATAAGAAAACTTGTATAGCGACTTTTATAGAACTACCCAAAATCGCTATCCAACATAACCAAAAGAAAAATTTTGTCCATTTAAACGATCAAATAAAAATATAAATATTTCGAAATAAACATAAAATAAAGATGCCATTAACCAAGAATCAATAAATAAGGTTCCATAACATGATCGTGGTATTTACTGATATTTCATTTTTTTATTTCCCTCCAGATTATACAAAGTTTTATTATATTAAGTAATGCATCATAGTCATATTGAAGAATTCATCCTGGAAATTGATTCCATACAGTACAAATTGAAATGCCCACAGGGCGTGGGTTCAGTGGGCAGCAGTTCGTCAAGCAGCAGCACTTCGGTCAATGTTCTGTCCACAGCTGCTATGGCGGGCTCGATGAGGACACTGCCATCAAGATGCCACGCACCTCTCAATGCTGAATCCAAACTGCAACCGTCAGCTGGGTTAGTACGGGATGGCATGGTGAGGATGATGGTGACGTTGAGGAAGTTGATGATGGTGATGAAGAAAACGATGATGATGAGGGGTGGAGGAAAATGTGGATGGTGTTGATTTGAATTTGATTAGTTTTATAACATAAATGTTGCTTCGTTAAATACAGTGATATGAGCAAACTTCAGACAAACACCAAGCCAAGTCGTCTGCCCCAGAGGGCCCCCATTATTACAGCTGCTGTTCCTGGTTGGTTGTGCAGTGTATACGCATGCTTATACATACACGTATACATCAAATGTGTACAACAGTCATTCTTTATTCAACTCTCCCATACACACATACCTGCATACATACATTATATTCATTATATCTTGGATACAATATTGAAATAGTAATAATAGACACAACTTATTTTAATATTCACTTATGTTAATATTGTTTTAATAATAAATTTATTTGGCTTATAATATGTTAATTGTATTGCTGCAATTGATTTGTTTGATTACTGCTTTTTTTCCAAATCATTTCGCTTGTTCTATCTGATTTCCATCCAATTCAATTGTATGCATATTCATTTTAACGATGAGGATGATTGTGATTGCCTGTCACCAGATTTTCGAAGCAACATCAGCATGCAGCAAACCAGCAGCAGCAACAACAACAACAACATATTGCGAACGAGTAGCACGTCAAATGTTACATCCTCATCTACGTCTCCGAAAACAACAAACACTCTTTCGAAAATAGCCAGGCCTACATTCAGCACTCGGGCAATTCGTGAGTTCCCTTTATTTTACTCTTTACTGATATTTCTTTTTTTTTATTACCACCCAGATTATACAAAGTTTTATAAATAAATTGTAGAATGTTAACAAACATGTTTTTATGAAACTCACGCAGGTCACAGCCAAAGTTCAACTGATCTGTCGACCCCATTAAAACAGCAACAACAGCCACGAACAACAAAGTTGAGGAGGAATGGTTCTCTGAGGATGTCAGGTTCTTCAAGTTGGTAGATGCTTTTTGCTTCTGTTCATTTTTACACCCATGTTTTCCAGTTGGTTTTGTCTTCATATTCGTTTCTATGTCTATAGTGCATGTATTTACGATCGTTTTGCTCGTGCTTATTTAATTTATGTCTATTTTTTATGAAATTTGCTAATAATAGTATTAAATGTTAAGTATAAGAGTAAGTATTAAAAGCCTATATTCTGATACAATAAATGTGTATAAGTTGATTAAATTAAATATTAAAATGAAAAAAATACAGATGAATCTAAGTTTAAAAATGTTATCCACAATAACAACAGTAATTGATAAGCAAAAGAAAAAAAATTTGATATTCAAGTCATCTTTCCATGAATTCATCACTGCCTGGATTCAACTTATTACATTGGAGGGATCTACAAAACTTATAGAAGTTCATAAACACCCAGTGGCAATTATTATTTTTTACCATTCAACGTTTGTTTAAGGCCTTCTACGCATCAGTACAATGAGAATAAATTAAATTGAAGAAACTGTTCTAGAGGCTGAATTGAGCGAATCCATAGAAAAAAGGCATTTTAAGGACTCGAATGAGCTGTGTATATAAATGTATATAAACTCTATATATAATAATAATAATAATAAAAATACAAATAATAATACTAATAAAAATACTAATAATAATACTAATAAAAATATACTAATAATAATACTAATAAAAATATAATATTAATAATACTAATAAAAATATAATATTAATAATACTAATAAAAATACTAATGATGAAGGTAGCAACAGCAGTAGTGGGATGGTCTTCTCTCGTCTGCCGCAACATTCGAGGAACCGAAGCTTATCGAGGTCACCAAGGACAGGCACATCTTTATCACAGCGTTTGTTATTCTTTGTTTTATGTTTGTTGTCTATGCTGTGTTTTTATTATTTATGTTATTCGCTCCATATTGCATTGTTGTTTTTTTATTTTGTGTTTATTATTTGTTTGCTGTTGTCTTCGAGTCAAATGTTATGTCTGTTTTTTTTTCAATATGTACGAAATAACGCTGTCACGTTGCGGAAACTAGAATAGTGATTATGATTACGAGAGTTATGATTATTTAGAGTCTGGCCATTACTCGCATCAGTTGCTCAACATTTTGATTTTTTACGTTAATGTTAACGAAATCATCTTCATCCTTACAGCATCCAGTCGATCAGTCTCACCATCATCGCGATATAGCTACTTATCATATCAACATCAGCAACCGCAAATGCCCAACTACAACACGAAAACATCATTGTTGATGCCACAACAAAAGTATCAACAATCTCCACCGACCACCTCGACAGCAGCCACAACAAGCCACAGGCAGCAGCGAACAATGGCGCCAGCGACTAGGGCACCTCTAAGGGAACCAAGCCCTGCAAGGAGTGACACTGCTATTGGTTGGTCGTGGTTTGTAATACATTTTCTGATGACGATAATGATCATGGTGATGAAAATGGTGACGATTATTTTAATCATGGCTGGTATAATGGTTAACTTACTTGGCAGTGCTCTTGTAGCAACTGTGTTCGAATGCAAAATAATCTTGCCCGTCACATTGGGGGTGCCGGAGGGCCATGTGGGCTGTGTTATTATTGAAAGTCATTAAAACTCAATTTTCAAACAGGATAATCTATCATTTTTAGGTTTAGTCACGAATAGTTATCATTATATATCACGATATAGTAATATAGGTAGTTAATTTGTAGATTCATGCAGTACTCAATCTCCTAAGCATGGAAATTAGGGTGGAGCGAATTTATACATAAAAAAATTTTTTTCTTCTTTTTACTTTTCCTGGGGTTGGGAAATATGTCTTTTATCGAGTTATTTCAATGTGTAAATTTTGAATTTTATTGAACATTGTTTTGAGGTTCCTCTCGGCTGGAGACTGTTTATGAATTGCATTTCAAAAGTAAACAAAACAATATCATCAAATTAAACATGTTATTAACTCAAATAAATCATTTAAATCTTGAAAAACAAAACATTAGTGTTTACTAGTTCACATCAAAGACTTAAATAATGAAGTGTTTTTTAGTTTCAAATTTTGGTATATCATTTTGAGATGCAAGTTTAGTACGAATAAAGCCATCTCTTGCTTTTTCTCCACAAACTGAAAGTGACGCTTCTGTAACTAATTTTATCATTCTTTCTACTGCCTGAGTATGGCAAGGCAACTTCAAAAATTCAATGTTATTAGGAATATCCATTATCATCTGTTCTAAAGCTTCAGTTGTGATATCTTTTGTAAGGGGTGGCTCTGTGATCTCGGTTGCATGCCAATCGATCATGTCGTAATAGTTGATCGCATCAAAGTTTAGCTTTGGAACTTTGAAGACTCGAACAGTATTTAGAGTGGCATCATTAGCTCTGCATTTTAATATCCGCCTTAAAGCTAATTCCCTTATGTGCTTTTGTTCATCAGCCAACATCGATAACAGAATATTTTCCGGGTGAGCAAAATAAGCATTTCTTTGTAAAACCGGATTTAATAAATTTTTTAACTCTTCAGGTAAATAACGACACTTTTTAATAATTCCCAAAAAATGATTTGATCCTGTTTTATTGGTAGGTTTCAGCTTTATTTCAAACCAACTAGGAGGATATACCTTCATCACATACTGAGCTAACACTTTTAATGCCGTTGACGGATTTTGAACAGCAACATATAATCTAAGAATACGGTTAGCAGTTGTTATCCAGCGCGAATGTGACATTTTTCCAGGATTACGGAGAGACAAAGATAGCGGTATATCTCCTTTCATAATTCTATTACGTATATCAAAAAGGTAAGTTTGGTCGGTGCTCAAATCATTTTGATGAATTGAGGGTAATTCAGTTTCAATAGGTTCAAAAGCAGCAATAGAAAGTTTTTCACAGTTTTCCAACATTTTTCCAATTTCACCAGAGAAGCATCTTGGATTGCTTGTTTTTCCATCTAGGAATTGAATTAAATGGCGAAGAGGCAATTCATTGGTGTGCAGCAAGCAAATGTGCCATTGTAATGGACGACCTATGAACAATTCTAGTTGCCTTATAACACCATTAGTTAACCCTGTATTTATAACCGTGCCATCGCACCCAATAGCTTTCAACTCATTAATATTTGAATCAGCATCTTTTAAAAATGTTTTTATACTTAGTGTTATATTTTTAGCACTTCCTGACATTGGTGACACATGACCTAAGAAAAGTGAACCAGGTTCGGAAAGTAAGACAACATGCTCTTCTGTTACAGTGCTTCTGTAATATTTTGTGCCTTTTTTATCTTGTTGAATTGTTTTATCTTTTCTCCCGTCGAAATAAAGTCCACGAACAGCTGTGATTCATTGAAAGACTTATTTTG